TTTGTCTATATATTATGATTATTATTGGCTTATGAACATTTTACATAAAACGTCAAGAAGTCGAAATTCAAATATACTTCTTTTCAACTTATACTTACAAGAACCTATAACTAATTAAAAAGTGTACTGAAGAAAACACAAATATTTTGAACAAAATTACTTTAGCTGTAATATCGCATAGATAAAATTTATTTTTGTTAATAAGCAAAGTTTCAGTTTTCATAGTCAATATTATTTACCACACCCATAGTGTATACAAGTCTATACGTTGCGGTAGGTCGGGGTCGCGGTTAACGAACGCTGTTTGCGTGTTAGACCTTGAGCGTGCTGTAACTACGACCCAAGTTACATTACTTAACAATTATAAGGAAATAACATCAATAAGAAAGAAAGAAAATAAACACTTATACGATACACATCAGAATAGATATTCAGTTGGTTGGTTCATAACTTAATTAAGTTTCCATTGCTGAACTATATGTACATGAACATATCTCCGTCCTTGTCATTCTTTACAAAAAAATACAGAGGTAATATATTTTGAACAGATTTTCATATAGTGAAAACACACGATTTAATTCGTATTATGTGCATATGCCACATCTTATATATCGGAGCAGTTATCTTAATCGATATAAAAATAGACGAATTCCATCTTTAATTGCGTGTCTGAAAGTGAAACTTGTCAAGCGTAATAACAATTTACTATCTGTGCAATCTCTGGTGAAAAGTCGACTTTCAGTCAATTTTGTGAAAATTTAAGTGCTAAAACCGCAAGCAATCTGAGGTAAAATAGACAGCTTTCTCTGCGCCAAATTACATCTCAAACGTAACTGCACAATAAAGTTCAAAAAAAATTGTTTTATTTTATTTCATATGTTACGAAAAATTACCACAAAGCTAAATACGAACATTTAACAGAGTTTCCGAATCTGTTAGTTAGAAATGAAATGGAGTCGGAATTTAATTGCATTTGTATCATTTAAAATCGTACAAACAAATAAACATCAGGTAACTAACAATTAAGTTTATTAGTGAAGTAAAACACTTAGTTGAGGAACTTAGAAAGAGATGGATGGATTGCGTGAAAGATGTCATGATCAAGAAGGAAGTAATGACTGAGATGACATATGATAGACTTATGTGGAGGACAAAAACCTTTTGCGCTGAATCTACGGGAGTAGGATAAGGAGGAATATGATTGAAGTAAAACACATGTACAAAAATTGTAGCCTTATTCTAAATAGTTTTATCCATTGTACATTTTTTCGATTCTCCAAGAGAAGCAGGTTCTCTCGTCAGTCCAATGCACTTACTCAAATTCAACACGTTACAGTTTACAATTGCGTTCATGTTAATGAAGTCGTATCCATGTACATTCACGTATTCTATTAGTTGAAAGGCCAAAGCTTATTATTTCGCCCAGGAGAGCGTGATACGGTACGGTCAAAGTGAATACGTGAACAATGTTAATGCTGGGTTTCTGAAGTTTTCATTTCTTCTATCGTTATCTGTATAACTAATAGTTATTCATTAGTGTTAGGTTGACCTATGTTTTAGCATGGTAAAACTCAAGTTACATGGTTCAGAAACTTCATAAATATTATATTATTAATGTAATATCTGTGTTTTTTTTGTTAAATTTCATAAAATTAACTAACCAAAACCACTAAAGAATGCTTAAACGTAGCTGGGAAACCGGCGATTAGAAATTGAAATTCGGACGCAATTCAACAAAGGCTTGTATATGTTCTATCTTCTGAAGCCCGCTACATACTGTCTCAACTGAGCAGTTGAACTGTTCAGTCAAAACTGTCAAGGCAAAACTTTAACTGACTTTTAACCTAACATATTCACAGTTTAAACTGAACACTTCGAGTCTTCAGTTAAAATTTAACAAGCGGACTTAGCGTTATTTTTGAAAAATGGTAATTAAAACAAAATGATTTAAACTAAGGCTGTATTTATTAATTTAATGCACAAACAAAACAAAAAACAGTGATCTATTTCTACATCCATTTATCGAGATAGATGTCGCCATTAGACGGGGAAAAAAACTTTTAAAAGACAATTTACACCTAGGTGTACACGCCGCTCGTTTGCCCCCTTTTACTATTAAAAAAAAAAAAAAATTTAATATAGTCCAAGGGCGCGAACTATCTTCAAGTAACAAGTCACGGGGCGTAATACCGCTAGGTTTTCACCAGTTTAAAATTTGACAGAACGTCTGTTTTCAACGCCGCAGAGTATTTCAACCACAAAAGCATTTTATAGTGAAGCGGAATTTTTGTTAATAATTCTCATGGGAACACATTTTACACGATTAAGTTTATCATTTAATAAGCCACATCAAAAGTAAAATATAATTTCGCAATATCAATATATTCGTATAAAACTTTGATCATTCGGCTTTTCCGAAAAGAGTGAGAAATCTTACGATTTATAATTTTAAAAAAATACGAACCTACGATAAAACGCAAACGAAGGGAATTATTCAACCTTTGGTTTCATTAAAAATAATCTAACTTTTAACTAAAAACATAAATAAGTAAGTTTAGATGGATGGATGTTTGTAGCTTAAACGGCTGAACGGATCTGGATTAAATTTGGCATAGATGTAGAGCAGAGTCTGGACGAACACATAAGCTACTTACTTTTGTTTTTTTTAATACCATGCGGACGAAGTTGCGAAAGCTAGTAATTAAAATAACACGGTCGTCGACTTCATTAATACTGTATCAATTCATCTAACACGTAACAAAGACACCTAAGCAACAAAGAATAAACATTATTATGAAACTCGTTACAACCGTTCAATGATCCATTGTTATAATGAATGCAAGTTACACGAAAGTTCATGTCGAGATCGCAAGTCTAGATAGGCTATTAAGGTAAACATATCGCGAGATCTTTACTCATCCTTACATTGACCTCGTAACTGTTCAGTGAGCTATCGATTAGAGATAAGAAATAGAGAATGAAGCCAGGTAATGATGCTGACGGTACTGTTTTTTGTAGATTTGAGTTTTTACTGTAAACTGATCTCGTCTTTAAAGTATATTTAATAGCTAAACATGGTATCAATGCAATGTTATAAAATAAGTCAACAACCTTTCAAATTAAAGAGATTGGCTCCTGAAATACAGAGCAACCTAATCCAAGAGCTAAGGCTCCCACAAAATGTATTTAAGTCTTACTAATCTCACTAATATTATAAATGCGAAAGTTTAGATAGATGTTTGTAGCCTCAACTGATTAACAGATTACGATGGAATTTTGTATAGATAGATGTTTTTTATAATTCCACGCAAACGGAGTTGCGAAAGCTAGTATCACAATAAAGCCTTTACTATAATTATAAAACTGTTCTACGTTTTACATTCATAATTAAATGTTTATTCATCCACAATTTACTTAAAGTATAACAAATTCTGGAAATCCGTACAGCACAGAAAACATTTTAAGTTTCGTATATCCGCTACAAAAAGCTTTACATTACATATTATATCGCGTTATTTGTATCGCGAGTTTAGTCAGAAATGTTTTTAAATTTCGTTTCATTTCAAACAATATTTCAAAGGATACAACAAAACAAGGATGATTTAGGATTATACAATGATAGTCCACCGTCACGATTGGTCGGCTATTCGTGACTTCCGGCAATTTGTTGAAAAAAAAACGATTTAGAAATAGAAATTTTATAACTAACACTTCATGCTATCAAACGTTATTAACACATTATTAAAAAAAATACCACAACCAGATTAAGTGTGAAATATTAATATTAAATCATTTTTTTTATTATTGAACTTGTATTTATTAAAACAACTTAGATTTTGCCCTTCTAAAAACATAACTACTAGTAATATAAAAATAAAAAAGAACACTCAGTACAAATTGTATTTTATAAACTCTAATTACATTTTATAATAAATTAATTTAACTTCATCGAGATTTTTATGAAACAAAACTGAAAAAAATTTACCAACGATTAATCTAAAAGATGAAAGACGTAATCAAGGCTTTAAAGCTTAACAAACTTTCAATAGAGTCATTCAATAAACTGTTCGGTTTGCACGATTGCAAACTATTCCTTTGTGGAAATTGTTACGAGAATGTAATACAGAGAAATTAATATTTATACAGAAAACTCTTTTATCCATTCGATAATAAATGTATTTCACACTGAAGTAATTAAAATTTGTAAATGCAAAATATAAAAGTTTTGAAATATAACATTGAAATTAATAATTATTTTCACATTAATGTATCAAATTCGATATCAAAATCTGATTTAATATAATTTGACGTAAATCAAATAAAGCGGTTACAGATAAATTAAAGCAGTTATAGTAAAAAACACTGTTTGAGAAGCAAAGCGGTGGATATAAAAAGTTCTTTGTTGCGGAATAACATTTGATGTAACTAAACAGGTCACTGGAGCACTTTGTGTTCAAACAGATGAGATGGATTTTTATCAAAATTACATCTCTCAGCAGGTGTACTTAGTTAGAATTCGTTATTAACAAAATAGTTACAATAAATAAAAACATTTGCTATAACTGATTGGTTGATGAGTCTTAAAAACCACTAACAAGCTTGATTAACGAACAATTTGTCGACGTTTGATCAAGCAATTCGTCACACAATTTTAATTATGGACAAAAGTGTAATCAAAAAAATAACAAATTCAAGTAGAAGTAGTAACATGAAAAATGTATCTAACACTATTAAGCCGCATGTAGATCAAAGAAAAATAAGCTTAGACGTCAGAACTCATCTCAGTTGACAAAGAAATTCTCACAGAGCTGATGAATGGTTGTTTGCGGAGCGTCGTCGACCTCGAGATATTTCACATCATTGTGCACACTGCTAATGACATCTCGGCCACATTAGCGCTTTCGATGGTGCCATAAATTTTTGCTCGATGAAAGAATGTCAAATATAACAAGTTTTCATTTACTGTGAGGTTAATCAATCATTATAATGGTTATTTTCAGACAGTACCGCTGCCCGCAGGCTCCACTTCGGTGTTAGCAAAGCCAACGAAATACCATTACTATCCGCACAATCAGCACATTTACCTATTACCAGAGTGTGCCATACAACAGGTAATTATCGCTTGAATAGCTTTATTAGTCCTATTCACAGAACAAATTGAGTATTAAAGAAGTAAATTAACATTTACTACAAGAAAAGTTACTTATTTTAGTAACTAAACTAAAAACCTTAAGATTCTGCGGAAGTCAAATTAAGGTGGTGTATCGTAAAGAGGAATGATTTCGAGTGAGACCGATTTCAAAAATTCTTGCAACAAAAAGCTTTCATATGGACGAAGTTGCGAGCAACAGCTAGTCTCTTATAAACATAACGAAGAAGAAACAAGTATTATCTCTGCCACTCTCTATTCTTTGCCTTATTAAAAATACAAAGCTAAATCATCAATTAATCTATCATAATAATTGACTTGTATAATAATACAATAAAATAAAGATAAAAACGCTCTTCTAAAAGCTTATATAAACATTATATTACGTTCTTAGGTGTGCAACGCAGTATATGTTCGGTTGAACTACACGCAGCCGCTTTGCGCGTGCCCCGCACGCTACCGGGACCCCTGCTCGGCCAGCCTCAACGCGGACGACCTGCATACCACGCGCCTCACCACCGACTCCAAAAAGAAGGTAAGCTGTACTGCACAAACAAGCCGTTGCAATCGCTCCCCATGTACCGTTAGTTCTCATCGCGAACACCGACAGGTGAGAACGATTTCGTTTCGCGTTAACGTAATTTAAAGTACGCTTTGTGCTTGTACTGACCCATTTGTTATAACGATTGTGTTCTATTGATATGCCATGAAAGTGTAATACTATTTTATTCGACGTTTTTGTCAACAAAATACATTGGAGTTTTAGAACTTGTTGATTGGAAACAATGTAGTTTAATTTCAAGATTTAGAACAATATCGCCCCAACATTTTGGTTTCGTTAAATAAAACTGTATAAAGTATTAGTTTTAAAATATCTCTTATTTTCTTTTCCAGTACGCGAAGAAAGCAGTAACATTAGTGAAAACGTGCGAGGCGGTGTCCGAAATGAGAGAATGTCGCGCGCCGAGAGACTGGTCGCTGCTAGCTCTACAGAACATTAGAACAGGAAAATCACATTACTTGGTCATCTGTCGATGTCCAGAGACTCATATTTTAGGTAAATATCTAATTTAATCAATTATTTACTTTATAACTAGCTATTGCCCGCAACTTCGTACGCGCGGTATTGGAAAACATACGAACTAAAAATTGTACAACAAAAAAATACGTAACCCTCGGGGACCTGACATTTTTTGGAGATGAACCGTATCCCATGTGTTACTCCAGACTTGGTTTTACATCTGTACCAAATTTCTGTAAGATATGTTGACCCGTTACAGGATAATAGAGTAAACATAACATATAAAAAAACTACATTAATGCATCCCACGGGAACCTTAAGTAATTCTCGGATCATAAGTACCTTATGTGTTCTTCAAGACTATTATCTACATCTATGCCAAATTTCACCCGAATCTCTACCAAACATCCATCTATATAAATTAACATTTATAATATTAGTGCGAAGTCAGAAGTACGATTCGTTGTAATGACGTAAATTCACATAAAACATATATTCTACAGAAGGGCCGATGACGCACGACCAACCAACATACGCCTCTGTACCGGGTATTAGAGTGTACGGAATGATGTGTGTACGACCATCGCCCGCCTTTCAATCAGGTCAGTATCATTAATTACTAACCAAACAAACAACATCGATAAAGTAAATTCAACGAACTGTTACTCTAAAGTTTAAAGTACACACCTATTCAGGTATGTGCCCACGGTTATCTTATAAAACAATTCTAATTTCAGGTTACAAAGGGAACAGATATACAAGCCCTTCAAGCACCACCAGCTCTTACAAAGTGGACTATTCTCAACCACATTCGTACTCAGATAAACCAGTCTACAACCGTTTCCAGTCTCACAGCTATATAGACTCTAATTACTACAACAGAAGGTCGAGAGCTGCTCGCATGCGACGAATGGCCAGTCTATACCCACCCTTTCCTTGGGACAAGGTCGAAGAATTAGCAGAATCTTTACATTGGATCAATTAGGTTCTAAATATGATGAATCTCCTCTGTCGTAACACCTCTCTTGCTAACCTTTTCGATCACTTTTAAAAAATAGAGATAGCAAATTTCTGTAATGTGTGACGACAGTTGAAATTCACGGATAAGAACATAACTTATGTTGGGTTCAAATAGGCCCTTGTAACCATTATTTGCCTTTTTGAATTCAACGGAAACATTGGATAGTATTACGTGCGCAATTTTAAAACGCTTTACGAGCATATAGGCCATTCAATTAATAAGGTTTGTTTGTATTCGACGCCGAGGTTTAGTTTCCATTCCACTTACAAAGGGAGGCATTTAATAGAATGTAAGAGCTTAATTTAAATTTCTAAGCCAGTTAATTTGATAATATAAAGTTACATTGTTAATTTTTATTTTCATACAAAAAGTATTTAGCCATTTGTAGTGTTCATAACCGTAATTTTTAATTGTTTAGTAGACTACGAATATTATATGCGAATTTGAAATAGTATTTGACATTCTTAACATATTTTACTATAGAAGAAATATGTTTTCCCCACCAAGACATGATGTTACAAACAAAAAAAATCAAAAAGATATACTTACTCAACAATGTACACGAAGTAATGTGATAAGTAAGGTGAAGAAATTGTGTAATTTCAATGCATTTATAATTATTTAAGTATTTAGTTGGTAAAAATTATTTATAAAAATAATCTGAGTAAAACAAATTGACGTGTAAATATTAGTGATAATTGCAATATTTGTAATTACAAAATTAGATTTTTTCTAATATAATTAGTTTCACTTACCCAACACTTTCTGATCTACGACGATGTCACACGAGTACATGGCGGCCATTATCCGCTGCGGTTGCATCTGGAACGCGCGGCGACAGGCTTCTTTCACAGCTGATATTATTTGACCTTGGAGACAAAAACTCATTAAAAAGAGGCAACAATCAAGACCAACACAAGGATCACAAGGACCTTTAGCCGGTAATAAAATTGTAATGTTTTAAAAACAACTGCAAATCAACAATGAAAATTGTTAAAAATAAAAGACGGTTAGGAACTACTTCAGTAAGCACTTAAAGTGTAAGACGAAGTATGCTTGTAAATAAGATAAATTACCTGAAAGTGGTCCAAATGTATGATTAACGTCATCTTGCTCGTTTTTCTCTAAAGTCCATTCCTCGACACAAAAAGCAACACCCATCATTGGCTCCTCGCACAATGGACCCGCGAGTGTGGCCAATTGGAATCCATTTACAAAACTGCCCTCGAATTCAAATCTGGGATCCTCTTTTATATCTTTTTCGTGAAGTAAAAACTTCGTTTTGTAATCATTCGTTTGATTCAGAAGTAGATTGGCACCACAATTTCTAGGACCGACTGACCATATTTGTTCCACTACATTTTCCCATTCAGGGCCAAGTTTCGAACAGATTGTTTGTAGCTCGGATTTGAATATTTCAATTAGCTTCATCATTCGTTCCGACAGCGTATGTTTCGTTCCGTTGATTTGTATTCTTTCCAATTTGTTCTCTAAATTGTCATTTTTTGAAACGCCTTGTAAAGACTTTATATGTTGAGAGATTGCTTTCAATAAATCAGTCGATTTATCCAACAAAGCTGTTATTTCTTTCGGCAATGGTTTCGCTCTTATTTTTATTTTACTTTGTTTGTTACTGGTATACATAGTAATGTATGGATCACTTATTGTTTCATTTCCTTTGTTTACATTTTGTGAATCTATTTCTTCGTTTGCCATATCTATTTTTGGCGGTTCAACTATCGTCTCTCTGAACGGTACAATAGGTTCTGAGACGGATAGTGGAATTTTCGCATAAATATTCCTGTAAATTAAATGGTAATTTTAGAAACCTTCAAAAAGATGCAAATAGTGGAATATACCATTAACAACGAGACTTACTACTTCCAAAATTTACTAGAACAAATATCTAAACATTTATTGGTTATCTAGAAAACAGAATAGAAACTGCTATTGTGCAAAAATATTTAACAAAAATTGTCGCCCGCAACATTGTTTTCACCTCATGGAATAATCCAAAATAATCTGATACTGGATTTGTACAGTTCCATAAATATTTCTTAGGTCAACATTCATTGGATATCAAGATGAATTAAGAGATAACATAGATATCATACGTACTTCAAGTCTTCTAAACATCTCTGCAGATGTACTTCGCCAGCTGTCACTAATACGTGCTCGCCAGATTCTTGAAGAAGCACTTGTACACACGGGTCTGATTGGTTTAGAAGTTTTAAGCCTAATAGAAAACAAATTATAAAGTTAATTAAAACCAAACAAAACATATTTACAGATATAATAATTACAACTTAATAATGTCCAGAGTAATTGCTATCACAATTACAAAACCATGATTACTACGGTAGACGATTTTTCCGACTACCTCTTAGATAATAGGAAAAACTAGACAGCTAGAATTACAGATTATGCAAAATGTTAATTATTACAGTGGTAAACATTACAGAATAGATTCAAAGGAACGAAGGCATCTGAATATATGATGAACAAACAAACGTGACAATGCGAGTTTCACGTTACGAACTTTGACAGTCACTTTGTTGTTGGTATTACGCTAGCAAAAGGAACGCCGGATCAGATATACAATTTGGAAGCAAAGCCAGCTTTAGTGGTTACTATGAAAATTGTCGTATAAATTGTACGTCTCTTCAACTCAGAAGATTTAAATAAGAATTTAGATAATGCATTCATATCAAATAATTTAAAAGGTACTGATTAAAATAACTTTACAAACATCACAAAAGACACTAAAGTCAACATTCTCACTGAGTATTCTTAAAAAATAAAACAGTAGCTGTTGCTTACGTCTTCGTCCGCGCAGAAATAAAAATTGTAATAAATATAGCCTATGACAGATTGGTGAAAGAAATTTGAAATCGGCCTAGTAGTTTTTGACTTATTACAATACATACAAAAATACAAATCTTTCCTCTTTATAATATTAGTATAGATTTAACCTACCTTTGACAAGTTGAGGTAGTTGGTTAGGATACGCAGGTTCTACGGCGACTCTAAGTATCGGCACGGCTGCGTACTGGATCTCACAGAAAGCAGGACATGCGATTGTACTGCTTAATGTTGCTGTTTTAAGTACGTATTCATCTAATCCACCTATACCTACAACAAATAAAACAATCGATTTCAAATAAAACAACAAACAAAGAAAAAAATATTTTAAGCGAACTATAACTTTAGCTAAGATTATAACGTTAGCTACTAATTTGTATTATTTATTACATCTTACCTACTATATTTCCTGCAACTCCTTCATCGATTTCTTCCAATTCTCTTCCCATTAAAATATACAATGATTTTACTCTGTAAATAAAATACAAAATTACGAAACATGAATTTGAAAATATCAAAAAACGATTTAACAAAAAGTACCCACTGAGCAACAGTAATATGTTCATCACTTTGTAAGTCTTTTAGTTTCTTATTGGCATCGATTTTCAAGTCTATCAAATTAAGAACTTTGTTAGGATCATGTTTAGGACCCAACACATAAACAGTGCCACCTTTTTTTATTTTACCACTAAAAATTCTAGCAAAAGCTATAAATGCTGGTTGGTCTTTATTTTCCTTTTCACTCTCGTCTTCAACACATTTTTCTAAATCATTATCAAGTTTAGTTTCGTTCTCATTAACTGTTTCTAAATCTGTTGTGTTCTGTTTCTCTTGTCTTATCTGTCTTGCTCGTTCTCTTCTCGCTGCCATTTCTTCTAAAGTTAACGCCCTTGGTTTATTTTCGGGCAAAACATTTTTGTCCACACTAAACATTTTCGATACAAAAATAATCACAGGTCTATCGTCACTACTATCACAGGCTAAAAAGTCACCTTTAAGATTTTTCGTATCCAAACTATACGAATCAAAGTCCCTTATAGGGGAGCACATTAGTTTCTCTACCCTTTCGGGTAATATTTCTTTTGGTGATGGTAACATTTTACACACCATGTTCAATACTACAGTAGACAATGGTAGCCATTGCATCATTAATGATTGTAGTTGAATTCTACTGTCTGTATGTCTCAGGTCACGAGTTGTAAGTTTAATATTTAATTTTTCACAAATAACGGGAACCTTATCTTTCTCATTCCTCATAACAATAGTTTCATAAACATTCCATAAGTTATCAAAAATAACCTGTACAAATAATGGCTTCTTTGCTTTCTCCTGAGCTCCTTTCATAAAACGTTTCGTTTTGGGATTCAAATAATAATCACCCCATAACACTTTTTTAAGAATATCTTCCTTAACACCTATAATTAAATTTACTATCATATTTTAATTCTACATTTACACAAACAAGGGTCTACCGGCTAAATTTAGAAATACATTTTTTTTAAAACAAGTAGTTTATTCAGTCTGAACATAGTTACTTTAGGCAATAATCTAAAATCCAAGTTCTAAGACAAATTTTAAAATACTCACCGAGTTTATTTGAAAATAATTTAGCAAATGTATGTATAGTAAAACCCCATCCATCAATGGCACTTGCAAACACAACATTTCCTTGTTCTGGTGAAAAATATAGAGTAGAATCATCTGCATCTTCTAAAGCAGATGTCCAATCATAATAATTATTGTCCTCCGATTGCACTGTTGCAGAATCACCTTGTTGCTAAAAAAAAATTATTTATATCATAACAAGATGTTGCTCGCCACTTCATCAGCATGAAATTATAAAATCGAAAAAATACAGCCTATGTTACTAACTGATAACATAGTTTTTATTGGTGAAAGATTTTATTTAATAAATTATTTATGTTACAAAAAATTGCTATCTTAAATAGTACTATTATAGTTATAAAATAAACTAAAAAAATGTTCAAAAATGTGATAAAACTATATACAATTTAATATTACTACAATTAAAAATATATCTCTTAAAGAATTATTAAAAAAAACTTTAATTTTACCTTTTTATCAATCATGTTCTCTTCAGTTTTCAATACATCAGATGCAAACAATTCCCCCATTATAGCATTAACTTGTTCCAGTACTTGACCTATATGAACATAAGCGTCAAGTGCATTCATTTTCATTTCTAATATAAGTCTATCTATTTTGTTCAACACAAGTACTGCTTTAATGTTCTCCGAGTATGCTTGTTTCAGAGCTAATCTTGTTTGCGGGCAAACACCTTCAACAACATCCACCTATATAAACCAAAAAAACTGGGGTATAAGTTGTTTTAAAGTAATTAAAAATATATGTTTCTCTCCAAAGCATATTTAAAAAAAATTACTTTAGTATACTTTTTGTAAGAAACAAATGTAGAAAATGTGAAAGTTAGGTAATATGTGACGTTTATTATATTACACTGTAACATATTATTGTGCAATTTTTTCGTTTTGAAATGTGTTTGAAAGCCATAGAAAATCTACAAGAAACATTAAATCAAAATCGTTGTCACCTGAGAGATAAAACAGTAGGATCTAAGTCTGTATTTCTTTCTCTCTAATTTTATCTGAACTGTATTCATAATCTAATATTGACTCCTTATAGTTAGTCGTCTATGTGTGTAACATTTATTCATAAATGAGTTACAGGTTAAAACTTACCACAACAATGGCTCCATCACATAATCTCACCGCTGTAGACACTTCACTAGAAAAATCTATATGCCCAGGTGAGTCTATCAGATTTACAAGGTATTCTTCTTTCTCTAAAACATGGTATAGAGAAATGCTGCTACTTTTCATAGTAATACCTCTTTCCTGTTCATCGGGTCTACTGTCCATGTAACGAAGCTTTCCCGACATTCTCTGGGAAATTATGCCATTACTAGATATTAAGGAATCCGCCAGGGTTGTCTTCCCATGGTCCACGTGTGCTACGATGCAAATGTTTCGCACATTTGAAGGTTTATTTTGTAATTCCAAAAGTTTCGTTGTATCTACCAGCCTCATTTTTATTAACACTTCAAAATTTCTGTTTAAATAGTGATCAACTTGTTATTAAATAAGAATCTTATTAGCGATATCAAAAAATTTACACGATAAAGTTAACTTTAAAATTGCACAATGTGTACGAAATAATATTGACATCACTCACGAAAACATGTCACTGTCAAGTTGTTGACGTTTTCGTTCAGAAACACTGAGTTAAGACTTCTTTGTTTTTAGTTCTAATAATTTAGCTTTTAAAATAAGTTTTATTGATTCATTGCAGTTGAATGTTTTTTCTGCTATGTACCTATCCATTATTTGCAACATTTCATCGTCATCATCAATTTGCCCGTGTCTCTACGCAGGGTCAGCACGGTATGTACATACTGCTCTTACATGTATCTTTATTAGCCGTAATGTCTGCATTAACCGCCATCTTAAGCATTTCGCCTTTCACACAATCCATCGATACTTTCTTCGGTCTACCTACAGCTTTCTAGCCAACGTCTTTCAATGTAAATGCTTTCTTATTTATGATCTGCAGCATTTAGTAAGGGTTGTTACTTAAACATTAGCAATATAGGTAAATTAAACATCGTAACCTAATTCAAATATAACTAGGTAATTTAGTTGTTGGATTGGATTCGTATTCTCTCTCGGATTAATAGTAATCTAAAAGTATTCACATACTTAAATGTTGTGAAAAATACTGCTTTTCTGCTAGCAACGTAACAAAATGTCTGACTTAATTAAAAAAAAATTAATCGCCATAGTATGTGGTCACACAACTCTTTCAACGCAAACTTTTCACATAAAAGTATAAATAAAATGTAACATAATATATCAAGGGTTGCTACATTGCTACTAATGCAAAGGGCGTGTTCAGAGACCGGAAGCTGCCTGAAACGCAAGATTAACGTTCGTAATAAACTACGTTACGTTTTCTTAAGGGTGATACTTATAATAACCTCTGGAAACATATTCAAAGTCTAACTAAATAAAACAAACGTATGGAAGTACTAAAAATCATTTTATAATTCAATTAGATTTTACTAATGGGAATTAATGTTAACATTGGCTAACTTGGTAAGTTATTGAAATACCGCCTTATTGATATTTGAGACCATCGGAAACGGTGATACCTAAAGAAACACGCCAAGGAAATAGTTATAAGGAAAAAAGATATACTAATTATATGAGATAGGATTTTCAAAATCAAAAGAGCCACCGGTAGTGCAATGGTATAAGGCGCGGTTCGGAGATAAAAAGGGGTGCCACAGGTATGCGAATTATTCTCACATAACACTCTTAAATACCAACCTCGTCCCCATTATGAAAAAGGTGACGCTATGTAAATCTCGCCTAGGACGGTCAGCTACAACCAGCACTAACCGGAGTGACATTAAAGTTTTTAATTGTTTTAAACAGATGGAAGTTTACAGTACATCTACAGGGCTGGCAGTTTGCCAAAACCAATAACACCTACCTAACCTAAATAATTTTTCTTGACACTTTTGTTCGCTTTGCTACCAAAATTTATAAGAAACAGGATTTACAACATAAACTATATATGGTTAGTAGTTAGTTATAATTAATAATTACAGTATATTTAATGTTATTTTATCCTAACAATGCACTTAGGGAATTGCAACTGCATAAAATAAAGCGAGGGCTCACGTTAAGCAAAAACGGCTTTATCTTTCACACTTGTAAAAACAATTAATAATTAATTGCCTAAGAACTTAAGTAAATGTGCATAAAATGTTTCTTTTCATTTTTTTAACTTTAGAATCATTTTACCCAAATTTATATGAACTTTGATAAGTGGGAGATTATCCCTAAGGTAAAGTAGACAGGTGTTTGTAGCCCGAGATAACACGCGAGGTGCAAATTATGATATCAAAATGCTAAAGTGCCTCTTCATGCCTAACTTAACATGACTGTGACTGATTAAAGAGTTTAACACCGAGATAATTCCTGGGAACACAATCATTAAGCCCGCTACACACCTATTTTTAAACCTAACAGTAAAACCGTACGTGTGTAGAATATACTGAGAACTTCAAATCTTAAATGACAGTTCTTTTGCCTACATAGGTCAGTTTTAATTGTACAACTCGACTGTTCAGTTAAAACTGGTGAGTTAAAAGTAAAAAGGTGGGTAGCGAGCTTTAGATCGTTTTTGTAACTGACATTCCAAGCGCCTGAACAATTCTCTCGCGTTTTTCAATTTCCTAAGATTTATATGCCACTCCCTTGTTAAATGATTATTGAAGTAATGTAATATTTTATACTAAAAGACGAAAACTCCATTAGTGACCAATTAACGACTGCTAAAGAATGATTAGCAGCCTTACTACACTAACATAGTGTTATTATAAATTTTATTAAACAACGGCCCAGATTACAGAAGTCGTTGACATGACTAGCTTCTTATTGAATATAGCCGCAATATCAGGGATAGTTAATTTCATATACATGTTGGTATAGTTATATTATCGTATGGCGATTCAGTTAACGTGAATTGAGAGAAACGCGTGCGCGAACCGCGATCCCCTCTCGCTCAGTCTCCTTTCAGTCCGCGAAGCGAATTGACTTGTGCTTGTGCGAATTGCGTCTACGTTTTGTAAAATATTTCGTTACCGTAATCGTGTTTACCCCTGGTGTTTTATTGTACCGTTTTATGGATTACATTAGTTAATTTGTCGTGTAAAACATTGTGACTTTATTGCTACCAAAATGATAATTTTAAAAATGTGGATGGATTTATCGTGTTATGGTTATTGTTTGTGTGATAAGTGTACTTTCATAGTATTTGTTAAAAATTATGTTATCCTTCATTATGAGAACTAACATCCGTAAGTACAAATAACAAAAAGTATTAATTTTAAAGCCGATTTAGAGAGAGAGATTAAATACAAATGTAACATAATTAATAAGTGTAAAATTTTGTTAATTTTCCCTCGAAATCAAATAATTATATACAATTTTCAAAACATTATGGTATTATTTTTGTTTTTTTTTTCTTTACCATTATTGCTCTACGATAATTAAAATTGCATGCGAAATTGTGCTTCTACAGGGGTTGAAGTTTTAAACCAAACTACATTCTCCTTACTCGACAGATCTTGCTCAAACGGACTTATTGTGTCTTCTTTATTTGAAGAACTTCCTACGTTACAAAATTTCTTTCCTCTTGGAAGAACAAAAGGATTTGACGAAATTTGTCGAATCCAGAGCCTCAGATTTCTATTGTAAAGGAATAAAAGATCTTCCGATCAGATAAACATGTCGAGATATTTTAAGTAAAGATTTGATAAAATATTAAAAGATAAATCGAAAAAAAAGCAAGTTAGTTATAATTTTTCAATACAATTCTGCAATTTCATACTTTAACCCCTAATCTTTTTTCTAATTCTTGTTCTTCCTCAGCAATGTGAGCATTTGCTTTCTCAAGGGTTTTCTATTTATGTTCAAACGATTGTAGCTTTTAAGGTGGTACACCGCTAGTTTCCATGATTGTACATGATAAAATACTTACTACTTCGCTAAAGATATCCAAAGTAATTCTTTGCCCAGTACAGTATTATTTAACGTTCAAACATTTATACCAGATTTATGCTTCATTTTAATTTGATTGATCTATGATCGCAGCTCTTGTAAGAATCAAAAAAAGTTAATGTTGTGCTCTAACAAGTTGTCCAAACTGTAAAACAATTACATATTGTGGTGAATGTATGGAAGAATCGGCCGGTCTTCCTGTTATACGAGTGTCTTGTCTACGTTCTTCATAAGTTATATATTAACATTATTAAGAAGAAACATTATGAGCATTTTTATAAATAATCCTTATCTTTAATCGATAAATATTACGTAAAATTACAGTCAATATTGAGCTAAAAAAATAATACAAGTAAGTCGTGTTTGCAGAATATTTTGCCGGGGAGCTATTTTTTCCTTAATAGAGTCATCCATTGTTTCACGGCGTTTTAAGTTGGCTAAGTGCCAAATTCAGGTTGCCTACAGTTGTTACTTATATATCTTTTACTGTCGATAATATTGTATAGTCTGATAGCAGTATCTACATTGCTAAGGCTACCCTTGAAATAGGGAAAAGTTGTCTGTTATAAACTTTTCGGGCGCAACCACGGCTATTACGTTATTGTTTCGTTTAAAACTAAGTAAAAATGTAATCTTCGTATCGTCAACAAAGTAGAATTCAATAAAAGTAAAAACGTTATTCAACTTTAAAAAAAAATAATAGTTAAATTTCTTAAAAACTACTTTGCTATTCGAAAATTTCTTTAGTCCAGTAAATCCTCATGAAAAGTAAAACACAATCTTATTTTTATAATTCAAGTTTTTCAATTCTATTTAAAAAAAAAAAAACAAAACGAGTATTATCTCAATTTTATTTAACAAAAGTTGAATATCTACGTGCAAGTCTAAACAAAATGCGGATAGAATTGCGTGCTACAAGACACTTCTTTACGAATACAACTGTATTTTTATTTGTAAAAATGTATAATTCAGTAATTTTATGTTTTATTTGCAGGTTTACTGTTTAAATAATAATTAAGGTTTAACAATAATAAGCGAGGGCATCATGAACATCATATTGCTGGCGTTTACATGTGGTCTTTTGGGTGTGTATAATTTTTTTTATATAGTACTAAATAATGATACTAATACTATTATAGTAGACGTTATTTGATAATAATTATAAGTCAATTTTAACTTAAAAATATATTCATCACAGCCGTAATAAAAGAGAAGCAAAATATTTTCGTAATTTTTATGAAGCCTCTGACCTTAAATTGATGTTGACATTTCTCGACATCTACGATATCTTTTTGTAAACAATAATTCTACTTCTGACGATCCATTATTTTTAAGGAAAGTAATTATATTAATGAACAGCGACATTTATGTAAGATATAAAATTACAAGTAATTCGATAGGAAAACAAAAATGTTGCTATATATCATTAATACTATTCCGAATAAGAATAAAACCATAAACACTCGACACTGGTCCAATCCGCTAAGGGAGGGCCATAGACAAGAAAATGAACTGAACATTAATACTAATATTATGCTGTGAGAAATAATAAATACGATGTAAACACTGTGTAGCGAGGCCTTAGCATTCTAAGGCATTTCCAACACAAGGCTACACAAATCTACGATTTTAGTCTCTATGTCTACACTAATATTATAAAGAGGAAATATTTGTATTTTTGAATGTATTGAAATAACTCAAAAACTACTGGACCGATTTCAAAAATTCCACCATTAAAAAGATATGTCAACACTAAGTAACTTTTTTACTATTTTTTTAATTCGAAGCGACAACACGAGCAACAGCTAGTAATAAACATAATATTATAAAGAGAAAAAAAAATATTTTTGTATGTATTGAAATAACTCAAAAATTACTGCGCCGATTTCAAAAATTCTTAAACTTTAAAAAGTTATGTTATCACTGAATAATATAGGCAATATTTTTACTATTTGTTTTATTTCACACAGATGAAGTCTCGAGCTAGTAATAAATATTACTCAATTACGTAGAGATTCTAAACGTACACTAACAAATCTGTAATTTTATTTTTAAACAATTTAAAAATAAAATTACAGATTAGCGTAGCGTTATGTTCGAAGGAGCTAATACTTTATTAATTCAGCTTTAAATTACTTTAACAGGATCATTATCAGGACAGGACAGTCCAAGTAAATATGACATATTTGATTTCACAAATTACACAGTCAACATGAAAGTAAAACAGGAGCCACACTTCTATAATACGTCGATCAGAGACTACAAGGCAGCAGTGGGTCAACCTGCGTACTTACATTGCTTTGTGAAAAATTTGGGCGATCGAGAAGTAAGTTTTATTATCTTTATTGAGTAGATAATTATCTCATAAGTATCCCTTATTCGTGGTGTCTCTTAGTCCTTGCGCGATGTTATAAGACCTTTTAGCATAATTTAAAATTAAGTACCTGTAATCGCCCGCGACCCCGACGGCATGGAATTAAAAAAACAATAGTAGCTTTCGTGTTCTTCCAGACTATGCTCTATATTTATGGAAAATTTCATCGAGATCCGTTTAGCAGTTTAGGCTACAAACTCTAACAAACATCCATCCACACTTTCAATTATAATATTAGTAAGACTAGCTTTCGCCCGCGACTCCGTCTGCGTGGAGTTAAAAAACAATAGTAAGTAACCTAATATTCTTCCAGACTATCCTCTATATCTATACTAAATTTTATCGAAATCGATTCAACCGTTTAAGCTACAAACTCTAACAAAGATCTATCTAAACTTTCGCATTTATAATATCTGTAAGATAGTACGAAGTAAGATTTAATAATCGGTATGACTGAAAATGATACATTTCAAAGTCATATCTCCCTGTTATTTGATCTTTTCGATTAGTTCCTTCTATAAAGAGTTCCAATCGAAAACATCGTTTCATGACAAAAGGCACAAAAGAATGTACTTTTCCACTTACACGAGTTGTATACAAAAGGATTACTAACAAAAGTTTTAATTTAGTAGAACTTCATAAGCTTTCCCTTATCGAAACGCTTTTATTATTCCTTATAAATTATTTGTTATAGACGTTTATGAGTTTTATCAAACCCATAACAGAGTACATTTTCAATCATTCATCAGTGTCATAAACAATGATATAGAACGGCCACTTACCTTTGCCAAGCCCATAGGAACAAACGCTATCCATAAAGGTGGTCGTACATTGTTTGGTACTGGCAACAAGCCAAACAAAACAAACAATAAATAACAATACAGTAGATATTACTGAATGTACAAAACAGTTACCATATCCGTTCATCAAATTACATATTACATAAAATATTATTTTAACACCAACCAATACATTCTTCAATAGCGTTTAACCGAGCAAAGAAAGATGTAGAGTTAATCATGGATTCCCATCACGCGAAACATCTTTATAAAATATATTGTAATGTTTGTTTTTGTATGAACATGTCGGCAGTTAGGCCAATGAACGTAAGAAATTTCCGAGCAAAATCTTTTTCATTTTCGATCCTTCCCCGATGAGTCAAAGTGATGCACGGCAATAAGCATTTCTAACTAATTGAATTAATGATATATCTAATTCAGGTATCATGGATACGCAAGAGGGATCTTCATATTTTAGCTGTGGGAGTCCACGCTTACAGTAGAGACCCACGTTTCGCGGCGATACACACGGAAGGCTCCGACGACTGGGTCCTGCGCGTAGCTAACGTTCAACTCAGAGACACGGGAGCTTACGAGTGTCAAGTATCAACTGAACCTAAAATGGGAATTACCTTCTGGCTCACAGTAGAAGGTTAGTAAGACAGGAATCAAACTAAAAATGGCTCACTGTATCGACCAAAACTTATAGAAAAGAGAAGCTAATATTGTCGACCTTGACAAAAGGTTCTGACCTCAAATAACTATGTCAAGATGGCGTCGTTGTCTTAGAAAACCCTCTCTCGCTAATTAAGCAAAGACATGAGTACTAAAGTGATACTTTGAAAAAGGTGCTGGAAACTTTTGTAACACTCAAACGCCTTATAGTTAACGAAACAAAAAGAAGAATAGTTAAATGTAAGGTTTTGTTTCAGTGTCTAAAGCAGAAATCACGACGGGAACAGAGGTACTTGTTCGCTCCGGCTCTGATATCAACCTCACGTGTCGAGTAGCGAACGTCGCTGAACCACCCAGGTATTCATGTTACCCTGGTACCTTATGCACTAAACATTGAAACTATGTGCACTAAATTGACATTACGTCGCCTAATGTTACGCGGTGTAACATTTCCATCGAAGGGCTCGTTGCTCGCTTTGTTCCCCGTAACACTATGAACGGACTTCATAAATGTTAACCATGTAATATTACATTGCACCTTACATCATAAATTAACAAATTAATATCTTCGACTAATTTAAAAAAAGCCAGGTGTTTGCATTTATCAACCAGAGTCTCATCACTTTTGAAGATATTCATTTCATCATTAAAAAGCTTTGTTACCAATGAGTAACATAGGCTATATATTTAATTTTTAATTTCACGCTGACGAATTCGCGAGTAACTAGTGTTGTTATAATTTTAGCTTTATCTACTGGTACCGTGATACGAACATGATCAACTACGCGCTGCGCGGCGGCGTCAGCGTTGAAACCGATCAACATTTACGCACCAGCCGTTTGCTCGTCGCGAGAGCCACCACGAAAGATTCTGGCAACTACACCTGCGTTCCTAGTAACTCAGGTACACTTCTCACTAAATGTCCTTTCCATAACAGGAATATTGACCAGAGTAATACTAAAGTGTGATACACGCACTTATAACTAGAAAAGAGTATAAAAAGTAATAACATTTGATTTTTTTCTATAATGTCCAATTCCAGTTATGCGTAGCACTTGCCCAGTACAGATGGACATTTCCAACGACCAATGACACTCATTGGCGCCTATTAGCGTTCACACTCTGCCAGTTAATTGACGGTTCAAACAGAGCTGTTGACTAATTAGTCCGTTTACACTTGGCCAGTACAGTTGTACTGGCCAAGTGTAAACCGCGCTTTAGAAGGCACTTATTTTAATTATATTCTATTCTTAGACACGGCGTCAATAATGGTGCACGTCGTGAACAGCGAACGTCCTCAAGCGATGCAAAGCGGCTCCTCATCCACATCGGCTTCGTTACTAACCATAATTATCATAACGATTGTCGTTAAAAATAATCGATTCCTATCGATTTTAATACAACTTATTATACTCATAAAGTTCATTTATTTCGCATTAAAAATAAATTCAAATTCAATATCAATCAATAAACGTATTTTAGGTAATTCTACAGATATAATTATGACAATGTAAATAAAATCCCAAAGGAAACTTGTTTCGGAACTGATTAATTATTATTTAAGTGACAAATAACGATTAGTTTTATAAGATTCAAATTCTTATAATAAAATAAGAATACAATAAGTAACTATTAATTGATTTTAGTTATAAAGTCTTATTTTTGAGGCTCAGTATATCATCAAGGGGTAGTCTGTGGTTGCCATCACCAAGCTGCAGGATCGAAAGGTTCCAGTGAGAGATGACCTTTACATACAGAATGTGTATTTATAAAATGCATACCTTATGCTTATTACATTAGGTGTAAAATTTGTACATAGTTAATTCGTAAATATTAAATAAAATATAATTTAGTCGTCTTTCTAGTCTGCATATTATGCAATCAATTGTAAAACAAAATTGGTGCTTTTGGTTGTAAAAATTGTAATGAATATATTAATCAAATTAAACTAAAAAATGTCAAACGCTCAAAACTTCTAAATTTGATTGTCACTTGTTCAAAAATAATGTAAGAATTTTGATCCCATCAATTTTCTCTCAAATTACAATAACATTGTTTATTAACTAATGCTAATATTTTACTTATTATGTAAATTAATTATTAATAATTATTTTACTTATTACATATATATTTTACTTATTGCACTCTGGTTCCTCTTAGATTTACCTTTTTGTTTATGGTTATTATTTTTTGGACTGTGTTTATATACGACTAAAAAAGAGTTAATCGAGCTTTATGTGTGAGTAGTCCAATATCAAATTAATATTACCTTGTTAATACTATGTCATTTATTTAAAAATGTAAAAAAAACGAATTTGAAATCGATGACAATTGATGGACTATACTGTGTAATATGATCTAACCTAGAAATTGCACTGCCGTAATAAAACTTTAGTTATATCAGATTTAAAGAAAAAAGTTGCAAATATCAATTTGCACCCATTCCAGAATTAAGTAAATGAATTTCTTTTCACGCTTCACAAGTGTTAAAAGGGATCAAACTAAGTTTTGAGGTAATTTAAGTAACACGTTGTAAATGTGTTTTTAATGTAAATTTAGATGTGGTGTACAATTAAAATGTAAGTCACATTAATATCAAATACGTCCATTATTTGTGGAGTAATTGTATTAATAAAATGTTTTATATGTTATTTTCTTTCTTATCGCCAATTCCTTACTCTTCACGAATCACGATGTCCAAAATGTGTTGCGCTCCGTACTTCTATAAAGTTAGTACTCAACCACAATCGTCTGAAGTTTTAGTTGAACATATTTCGTAACTTTGCACAAACATGTAAACAACTGGGACAGTAAAGCACTTAAACTTTTAAAAGGAACGATCGGACTTAAGTATATTAATTTTGTACCGGGAAACTCAATTAAGAAACAATGTATTAAAAAAGTACTAATTCATCGATTACTTAAAAATCTGCTCTCGTGTTACCTGTACTTCGTTCGCGAAAGTTTAGATGGATGGATGTTAGAGTTTGTGACTTAAACGGCTAAACGGATCTCGATGAAATTTAGCATAGATATAGAGAATTGTCTGGCAAAACACATAGGAGACTTTAGAATTTTTTAAATTCCACGCGAACGGAGTCGCGGGCGAAAGCTAGTTTTAAAAGTAAAAGAAAAACAAGGTTGTTAGGCATTTATATGTACTAGCTTATGAAAATACATTATTCACGTCTTTATATGTAGTTATGAGTGTCGAAAAATAAACCCAGTTAATTTTTGTGGTAATGTATTTATTTGTATAGATTTTAATTTTCTTTTATTATTCTAACATAGGTAAGTTTGTTTTAAGTGTTACAAATTAATGTACGCATAGCGACATGCAGTTTAGGAACGTAGGCGTTTTATGCGGTGCTTCACGCGATGAAAGCGTCAGAAAAGTGGTGTGGCAAATTGCAGGGGATTTATTTATTTAAAACTCCGTTGCATTTCTACAAAGTGAGTTTCTCTGCGTTAGAAATATGACGTTTCATTCAACGTTTTTTTTAATACCGTGCACTTTTATGATTACTTGGCGATTTGCTCAGAGCTCTATAAAACCTGATTTAAAATGTGCTCTAAGCGTCAAGAAAGCTTACTTTTATAAAGATCTTCTTTGGGTTTAGCTAAGATTTTCTATAAATAGAATAAGAGATTATTGAATAGTTCGTGTTTGTCCGTCTGAGCCTTCCATTAACAAGGTAGGTATCATATTGAACACCTTTATTTGCCCACTATGTTTTTTATGTATGCATTTTGATATACCTATAAAATACGTTTCCCTAACTTCATCAAATAGTATTTTTTGTATGTATTTACAAGTATTGACTTAGTTAGTACTTAGTGAAGTGTTAACGTAAAAAATTGCAGTTAGTTATATGGAATTATTAATAACGACGATAGTGAAACTCACATATCAGCGTAAGACAACGGGATAACGGCAAAATTCGCCTCATTTGATGTGAAATATAATATCGTTGAAAATTAATTTAATATATTGACAAAGGTTCATTTCACACTTATCCAGGTCAGTACCTACGTAAGCATTGAAAAGCTATCATTGTTGCCTGGTCAATATATCTCCCATTGGTATAAAATAATATATCTAAATAGGATTTAAAAAGCGGATAGATCAAATTAAAAAATATGAAATAATCTATCTGTGTATTTAATTTACATGTGCAATGTAAACAAATATTTATCCTTCTGGACATTCTGCAAAACTCGCTTAGAAGAAGATAATAATAGGGTTATAATGAGGTTTTTTTATACGGCTTTTGCCGCTTTCGTCTCTCCCCTATATTCTTACTCAGGGACCTGGGAAAAGTTATAATGGGTACGGACTCATTGGCACCAGTTAGTGTTCATATTATGTTTAAAAGTCAGTCCAGGTAACGCGCTACTGCTCAACTTTAGTTCGTATACTGGCATGGCATGTGTTGTATATTCTGCCCAAACGTGTGGCACAATTTATAAATTGGTAACATAACCATAGAGTTTCCTGCCTTTATGATGGGAACTTGGCAACACCATGGCCAGACTGAAAACTTTAAAAAGGTAACACTATAGATTTTGATAGGATATGTCAAATTTGAACTCAAAAGTCAGTTTCCGTGTTGTGCAGTTTTGCTTTTGGTATATTTCTTGAAATGATATCGTAAATGTGTATTATTAACTTAAATGTAACTATAAAATATATGTACATGTGATTAACTAGAATGAAGTTACAATATTGAAAATATAATTTAACCATATAATAATGTATGAACCAACGTTACGTTATGAGAAGATAGACTTTCTTGGAGAAGGACAGGTAAGATATTTAATAAACTAATCGTAATTGTCTAGAAATCAAATTTCAAAATAATCATAAATATATTTAATTTTGTAACAACAAGGTTATACTAAAGATTATATACTAAAACTGTACTTTTCTTTTGAACAGTTTGCTACAGTATATAAAGCAAAAGATGTGAAAAACGATAAAATAGTTGCTGTTAAGAAAATCAAAATTGGTTCGCGTTTAGAGGCTCAAGATGGAATCAATCGCACTGCTCTCAGAGAAATTAAATTGCTACAAGAATTGCAACATATCAACCTCATTGGACTATTAGGTTGTGTTATTTTTTTGGTTATATTGTTACTGTTCCAGCTAATTTTAACTTTTGACATATTTACTACTTACACACTGCAGTTAAATGTTTTCTGTAAATTATTTATTTAACTACTAATTGTTATTTGCTATTGCATTAACTAGTTGCCGGGTGGTTTTTGTGTAGAATTTAACATTAATTACTAGGGTAAAATATACATGAAAGAATTCTCATAGTTGTGCTGTTTTTGGGAGCTATATGACATTTTAGTTGAAGATTACTAGCATTGTGTATTCCTATGAACTTGCATAGACATCAAAAATTTCAAATTGTTTGTATTTTGCTTTAATAAAAAATCAATTTTCCAGATGTATTTGGACAGAAGTCAAATGTATCACTTGTGTTTGACTTCATGGATACTGACTTAGAAATAATAGTAAAGGACAGCAATATTGTACTTACTCCTGCTAATGTTAAGGCATATACTATTATGACTCTCAAAGGTAAAAACATTACATTTAGAGGTTATTCATACAATATTTTCGATATGTCTTTTTTGTACTTGAAATATTATTTTGTTCACAAATTATACATGAACTATATTTGCCTGTGATTTAAACTAATTGGTATAAAAAAAGTAGCCTGCAAGTTCTTTCAAAATTTTTATCTTATATTCGTGCCAATTTATTGAGATCCTTCAGAACTATTCTGGAAATAGCAATAAACATTTATCCATCTAAATGTTTGCAGTCATAATATTACTAAGATTAATTTAAGTGATTTTCACCTTCTACAATGTTATTTAGTTTCTTTTTTTCAGGACTGGAATATTTACATCAAAATTGGATACTGCACAGAGATTTGAAACCTAATAATTTACTTATAAACCGTGAAGGTATATTGAAGATTGGAGATTTTGGTCTAGCAAAAGCATTTGGCTCACCTACCAGAATAAATACACATCAAGTTGTGACAAGATGGTACAGGTAAGGTACATAGTGAGCTAGAAAGCTAAGAGAAAATGTAAAAGTCTAAGGAACATTTTATTTTTTCTAATGTACAGTTAGGGAAATTGGCAGTGTTTCAGCTTAAAAGCTACAATGTTTTCTTTTTTTTTAATGAAGTGTAGAGCAAAAACCACTTAATGTATCTGTATAAAAGAAACTTGGTTAGTAATACACAACTAGATCATTTTTATTATTATCCCTTCGTTAGCACTCACTGCTATCTTATTTGTTATTTCTAGGTAGGGGCATAGTTTGTCTTGTTGCAATAAACAAGGCATTTTTTCTGAAATAGGTTTTCCATTTTTAAAAATTACCACAACTGTACAAAGTACTAATCTTTTAACTTTGATTAGTAGGTTTTTTGTTATGTTTTTACAAAAACACATCTTTTTATAACAGTTGAACTGTTCAGTTAAAACTGTACATGTCTTCACAAAATTTTAACTGTCTGTTGTTTTTGAGTATATGTACCGGGATTTTTACTTGGTGGTTTTTTGAATTTTCTTTAGTACTTTTATATTGATATGACATTACAGATCTCCAGAGTTGTTGTTCGGGGCACGGCAATACGGAACCGGCGTGGATATGTGGGCGGTGGGCTGCATATTGGCAGAGTTGCTGTTGCGAGTGCCCTTCCTGCCCGGGGAGTCAGATTTAGATCAGCTCTCCCGCATCTTCCAGGTGTTTGGAACTCCAACTGAGGAAACTTGGCCAGTGAGTATTATAATAAGAGTAGTTGTTTTTTAATTTTATTTTTAACTTAGTCTATGTGTTTGTTAATTTATATTTTCTAATGAAACAATGTTAATTTTTTGTTGTCCAAGTAAACAAATGACATGAAAAATAAATGTTTTGCAATTATATCTAACAAAAGCACATAGTACTTAGTAACTTTAATTTTCTTTGCATTTCTTTTATATCATAATGTGACAAACACTCAACCGGCCACTCGCTGCCCATAGACATTTGCAATAGCGGATGCGTTGCCTACCCTTGATCAACGGAGGATACGCTCGTAAAGAAGATATTTCCCCTTCCTATGCGTCTCCTGCACCGTAAAATCTACGTCCCCTTCCCATCCTTTCCGTATAAGTAAACGGGTGGGAAAGAAAAGGAATTAAAGTTGGGTCTTTATTTCTTTATTATTCGCATTAGTTCATTTTTAATAGTTAACCGAGTGCTTGGTAATGAACGTTATGTACTCCAGGGCATGAAGAACCTGACGGACTACGTGCAGTTCAAGCAGTTCCCGGCGCAGCAGCTGCGGCACATCTTCAGCGCGGCGGCGGACGACCTGCTGCAGCTGCTGGACCGCCTGCTGGCGCTGCACCCGCCCGCGCGCTGCGACTGCACGCAGGCGCTGCAGATGCCCTACTTCAGGTATCTTACATATGAATGCCAAAGTTTAGATAGCTGCATGTTTGATAAAAAGTATCTCCAAAATTTAATGGATTTTGATAAAATTGAACACAGATTTAGAGCAAAGTCAGAGAAATACATAGAAAAGTAGCTTTCTAGATCTGACATTGCTCTACTAACTGTTTTTATTCAAAGGCTAGTATACTAAATATCAGATTTCACTTTACTGGAGTCCAATCATAATCGTAAACTATAGATATACTGCAATTTACACTTATAATTGTGAATTCTAAAATATTTTTCTTATAACGCTTTTTCTGACAAATTAAGTAGCTATAGAACTTTAGCTTTTATTTTACAATTTCACTAAACTTTAACTCAATTTTATTGAATACCTAACAAATTCAAATATCAATATAGCTGCCATGTATAGAAATTGTTCCTACTTTCTTTCAATTGAAACAAAGGATATAAAATAAAACACATGTATTCATAATGAGTATTATTTATTATTAAAACCATTGTTTTCAATGCAAATTAACTATTTTTTACAGTAATAAACCAGCACCAACTGTAGGCTCGAAGTTGCCCATGCCCACGAATATATTCAAAATGGAATCGGAAAAACCATCTTTGAAAAGGAAACTTCTAGATAATATAGATGGCGGCAGTCTCGCTAAACGTCTACAATTCTGACATTATGTAAACAAACTACGATTGTTGGAAGCAAGTGCAATATTATAACGCATTTGTTGATTTCATCATTGATTTTATTGGTTTGTTTAAGTTACAAAATGAAGCTGGACTTTGAGCTTGACTTTATTATAGACTATTGATTAATAATTTTGTAAAACAGACAAATATATTTTAATGATAGATATTACCTGTTTTTTTTTCTGTTTTTTTTTTAAATCCTTTTTTTTGTCTAAGTAAGCGCGAGAACTGTTAATTTTCTGCATAACAAAATATTAAAAAATCAAAGGAAAAAATGGGAACCACCTACAAGCACTACTTTTCGGATAAAAAAAAATTATCAAAATCGGTCTACTAGCGACGGAGTTATGCCGTAACACGCAAAAAAACGTACAGACGAATTGGGTATTTCCTTTTGGGAAGTCGGTCAAAATAAGCCAATTACTTTTGTACTAAAATAAAAAACGTACAATTATCCATGAAACTATATTTCTTTTAAAATTAATACAATATAATGGAATTACAGTTTGTGTAAAAATTTTTGGTATTACATTATAACAAAAGTCTAAAATTAAAAAAATAGCCATCTATTGGTTGCATGAACATTGTGGAACCGAGCCATGTGTCAATATACAGCTTACAGAAATAAATGTCGATTCGAAACTGGCAACCGAGTAACTCTGTAACAATATGTCATCGATTATTTACAAAATTCGTCAGATTTAATTATATGAATTACTAACAATTGCTCGCGAGTTCGTCCGCGTGAAAATAAAAAATATAGCCTATGTTACATAAAACAAATACATACAAAAATACAAATCATTCCTTTTTATAATATTTGTATTGATATAGAATACAAAATTACACACATTTCCTAGCACACTAGACGTAATTATTAAAAAAAAACTATTTTTATCTTCAGTTACACCTATTTTGCTTTGCATTTTAACGTTTATGTTATACAAAATCTTGCGATTTTTACAAATTGTGGCTTCCTAAAAAATGAAGAGTACATTTCTTACCTATTTGCATGTCACGTAGAAAATCCTTCACATGAGGTCCTGAGACAGTCTATTCAACGGCAAAATGGACGTCTCATGAAAACTGCATTGCGACACTCCACATGAAATACTGTCAACATTATATTATATTATATTACGTAAATAATAATCTTTTAGTAGAAGAAATATTGTCATCTTAACAAAAAACATCGGTAGGTCAATTCACATAAATACCCGGAATGCAAAATTTTTTTCTAGTGAACCAAGGATATTTATCATCTACATTATTAAAAAAAAAGTTTTTGATATAACTCAATAAAAACAACTTACATTCGTTTACTTTGTTTACCTCGTTGCGGGTTTCGACTGTTGGTGATTTTGCTTTCTTGGCGGCAATCTGCACACAAGAATTTGTTCGGTCCCATCATTTTGATACTTTTTATGTTCTATTTTTTTCTTATTTTTGTATGTAGCGTTGTCAATGTTATATTCTCTGCAGAAAAATGTTTTTTTCTTCTAAATATTGTCTTTCTGATAAATTCAAATTGAATGATTCAATTTATAAACTGAAGAAGTAGCTAGTTTTTTTAGGTATTTTGTTAAAATTAGTACTTTTTAATATATTTTTTAAATTTAAGTATTAATGACCTTCGGTGAGTTGGACATCGCAGTCAGCCGTCCGTAGACACCGTATTTACGTTCATCTTCCGGTCTCAAGGTTCCCATTTTTTTCATCGCCAAATAGATCTAAAAACACCTCTTGGAACTTTAGTATTTTTACTTGTTTAAATCCCTTCTAATTAAATAAAAAGAAACTGCACAGCTATTATAGTTTTCATATTTCTTGGTGGTTCTAAGTTCACGCAAGTCGCTGCACAGAACGAAATTTTAATTGAAGGGGGATGCGAGGGAGACCAGCATGCAGCGTGTCGATGACCTTGACCAGCTGAGATATTTGAAAAGTGTGATAATAAGGTATTCGATAAATTATAGTTTCCAAATTGACTACACGAAGAACCAACCGTGATTATTTAGTCATATTCATCATCAGTAATTTTGTCGCAACAAGCTTGTGCGCGATGAACCTTGATTTAAAAAGATCAGGGCCAGGACATCTAAAAATCCTAAATGTAAATTTTTACCTGTTCCAACATTCCGTAACTCCTGATGAGGAAATCTCTTTGTGCGAGCAAGTTGATACGTTCTCGTTCCTCCTTCTCAACAATAGGGTCTGGCTCGAAGGAGCACAACACGTACGGGGGCTTTATTTCCTTTTCCACCACCTATTCAATAACATTATAAAAGAGCCTTGGACACAAATTAAATTCTTATACCAACACATTTTTTTAAAAGACATTTCTAACAAAACTGAAAGATTGATTCTGTAATAATTATAAATGTTACTATTTGCTACACTGTCATAAAGTAAAATAAAAAAGGATTATGATATTTCTAAAGTAAAAAAACTAACAGGATACGACTGTGTAGACATTTTGTCTTTCTCTTGTCTCGCTTTCTCTTTATCGTCATCCTTTTTTTCTTTCTCTTTTTTCTGTTCCTTTTCCGGGCGTGGCTTCGGCTTCGGCTTTTCTATGACGCTGTCTCCGACTGTACCACTCGTGCTCTCGTCAGATTTCTTGTCGCCCTCTTTAATAGGTTTCATTTGAGATGGCTTCTTGAGAGCTTCGGACTTCGCTTTCGTTTGCTAAAGAAAAATGTTAATATATTACTAGTATAACATTGTATTATCTGTGTTATAACATAACATAGTATTACATAAATATTTATTTAGTACGCTACGTAGTAAGTCCGCTAAAACCATTTTTTGATCATGATGATATGTCCTTAGGTAGAGCAAACTTAAGAAACACTAAAGATGAAGCTGTCGTCTACCATAGATTCCAAGTTTATCTTAGTCTATTGTACGTAAAACAAATTAAAGATGTTTGAGAATATTTTGTAACACAAGATAGTTGGGCTAACCTCGAATTGTTCTCGTTGTTGTCGAGCGCAGTCTCCTCGTGCGCGCGAGGCCGCCGTGCCCGTGTACAGCGAGCCCGAGGGCTGCTGGAACAGCGCCGCGTACCGCTCGCCCTCGGGGTACACGCGTCTACGTTACACATTACAGCTAGTAGCAGGGCCGGTTGAGCAAATACCGGCGCCCTGGGCGAATTTTCTACATCGATCCCCGAAATGCAATACAAACCCATACGACATGTTCCTGGACTTAGGCGGTCACCTGACTTTGGCCACCCCTAACGTATATAGTACATTGAATCAGTAACATTCAAGTATTACAAGTTATAAGCAATATGAGACAATTTGACCTATAATATTAAGAAAAAAAATCAGTACTGCACTGGAGTATTCACGCAACACTAGGTTGTCTTATACGTCCGGTCCCTATCTGACAGATGTCAATGTCATTCAGTCGTTTTAGAATAGTGCACCATTCTGGCGGGAGGACTGGCCCGAGTGTTTAATTACGTTGTTACAGTTATAATAATTGCATAAAAAAGAATTACAATAAATAAAAATCGGAGTTCTGCTGCCCACATCGTTGTATTCCCGTAACTTAGACCAGATCTAAAGTTTATTGGTTAAAATATCTGAAAAATAAACTTTGAAAAGGTTCAAAATCAAATTAATTGTACCTAAAATTACCCAAATGTGTCTCCTCCCACTGTATCTGTGTCTGCCAGGGAGTTTTCTCTGGCTCCCTCTCCTCGCTGCCGGGACAACAATCTGGGAATCTGCACAAATCACTAACAAAGTTTTTATTAAACGTTTTACAATTGAATACTTAGTATAACTATACTAATATAATAAAAGCAATATTAACAAGCGGAAGACATTAATTTTCCTTCAGAACTTGAATTTGGAGTTAAAATAGGATAAGTTGAATTGTGAGTTGATATAATGTAGTTAATATTTTTGTATTAACACCAACTTGTTGGTCTGCAGCAGTCTATCTCTTATTCGTCTCCTATCCTCCTCCAGAACTCGTTTCTTATCGCATTGCCAGATGTTGAGCATCGTGAATGTGTCAGTGAGGAGACCCTCCTTCACTTCGCGGTCCAGCTGGGTATCCGTGTGAAAACTCGGGGAATGGTTAACCTGGGAGAAAGGGAACTTTCTTACTACTGAACCCAATAACATCCATAATCGTAGATAGAATTTCAAAGAATGATTTTGATATTACTTACCTCTAAAATATAAGGATGAAGTTTTTTATCCAAAAGTATATCGAACCCGAGAATCTCGAAACAAGCGTGAACCTGAAAAACATAAGTAATTTATATTAAAATTTAATTATTACAAAGGTATATCTTTGCAGTGCCTAATATTCAAATAGATATGAAAAATTCATTAGGTATAGCTGCATTTTTTTGTTTGACTAGGAAAAAAAATCCATTTTCCTACCGGTTAGCAATAGGATTAGAAGGTCGGCTTCCACGACCTCCTTATACCATGTTACATTTACAACAACTGTATTGTAGATAATGCAAAAAGAACCGTATCATGCGAGGGGAAGCAGGCGTGGTAACTATGCTTTAGTATCGGCCACGCGGCGATGATGGTCTTCACGATGACCTGGTCTATGGAGTACCAGAGCCGGCTCAGGTCCACTCCTTGCGACAACAGAATCTTGTTCAACGTCGATATCTTGCTGACGTCAGGAAGAGGAAATTTTGTTAAGGATTAGTTTGCTGTTTAACTCATTTCGAAAGAAAATTAGATATGAACTGATTATCCATAGTGTTTTAGTGCCTATTTCCACTTGTGTAGAAGTCGCGAACGCTCCAGTGAAAATAGGAATCGCGATCGCTAGTGGCTACGTCGCACAGATAACCGCTTAGTGCAAATATAAGATCGTTGTTAACATCGATTACACAGAAGCACATTGTTAATCTGTTTTACATTTAGTTGGTAATAGTTACGGCAAAAGAGACATCTAGAACAGGTAATGCACGTAAAATTCTAGAATTTTAAAAGTATAAAATCTTACCGTTTACTGCCCGCCTCCGAATCGTACACATAAGTACGACTGTGTTTGTTCAACGCGTAATTTGTCAAGTGCATAAACACATTGGTTGTGTTATTTGCATTCGGATCCGCATATCGGCTCGTAGCAAATCTAAAATTTTTTTTTCTTGAGATTTGTTTCCTCGTTCCTTATTCC